CATCGGTGTAACTTGTACAAGCCATACTACCATACAGTGTCATTACATACAATTCGATCAATCTGTCGGACTATACATCAAATCAATTAGTCGTTTCATTAATCAATTTGTTACATATGTGTGTTGATTATTCTTGATATTCTAAATTTAAATATGTAACGTATTTTATCATAGTAAACAAAAGAACTGAATAAATCCGATATCACTGTCAACTAAGTAACTAACTATGTTAAAATGAGGTTAATTTTGTTAGAAAACCTACAAGAAAAAGGGCATGATGAGACCTCATATTAGTCACATATGACATTTGATACACAAATAAGCTGAGTAAGATATACGACAGTTTGGGGGCAAAAAATAATGCTACAATAATTAAAAAGAAACAAAGAAACAGGCAAATTGATGGAAGTGTCTTGGTTGCTTAATAGAGTAGTCAACATGTTGTTCCCCTCTTCGTCGTCACCCTCAATATCGTTAAGGGAGGTTGGAGGGGCCAGTTCCCCACACCAAAAGAATCTTCCCTTCATTTGAAAATGACCCTTTATTGTTGATTTTTACATATACGGTAACCTTCCCTTCTCACTTTTCATTTTCGTTCTTGCTTCATTTTCTACGCGTAGTTGTTCTTTGGAATTACTATTCCCACTTGTTCCTCTTTATACAAGTCTTTAGAACGTGGAGATCAATCGTTTATCTTGATGAGACTAAAGAGATGATTGCATATAAGGAGTTAAAAGCGAGAACATACATAAAGTAACATTTAGTTTGTATTGGTTGTCATGTAAATTTGTTTAATCTAGCCAAAGTAATATGAAGTACGGAGTTAAATCACACAAAGAAGTGAGAAATTAAAATCATTTATAAGGATGGGACATTGGTAGAAAAACATCCTAAATTCCTAACATTTGTTTTCAAACAAATTTCAATGAATTGGATTTACACAATTTTATGGTCTTTGTGGAGTATTGTACTCCTTTAGGATCCGGCTCGTTAGGCCCATTTTCTACATTATGAAAACGGCCCACTATTTGTTTGGATGATTAAAACCTCAGTTCCTCAAATGAGCTGTTGTACTTCAACAGATTTTTGCCTTTACAACACTTTTTTCTCTTGTGATAATACATTTCATTTCTTTTAGCTATTAGTTACTAGCGTAGCTATTGTGTAAAATGATCGAAGTAGACGTTGATATAGTGTATTACGTGGTGAATTTTTTTACATCAGGGTATAGTCAAACTCCCTCCCTCCACGACATAGCTCAAGAATCCACCCTCATCACTTATCGCCACCTCTATCCCTTCGCTTTCCTTTTGTTCAAACTAATGGTATATTTAGCGAATTAGTGTAAGGTTTGTATTCAAAGGGAAAATTCGGGCTTGACATTCTTATGTATATATCTCTTTTTTATTACATACTTATTTTCATTATTATGTAAACTATATACTTCTAGTTTTTATTATTCTATAACACAAGGAAATACATACAAGTACAACTTATAGCTTAGGCACATTTTTCCATTTAAATTTATTTCCATTGTGTATCATCACAAGGAGAGCAAGCCTCTTGAGCAATATCAGTGATTTGAACTTTTGTGTCATATATAACTCCGGGCTTCCAATCTGCTGGTAACACATTTTTGGCCCAAATATTTTTGCCATCGTAGCCCGATGTTACAACAAATCTGAACTGCAAAGGCCCATTTGGTGCCTTGCTTGTGTCCCACACTATTCCATGATTCCGGCTCATGAAAGTCCAATTTGGTGAACCAACCTATTATTTCATACACAAACACAAAAATTAAAGTTTATTAAGGTATCATTAATGTGAACCAACCTATTATTTCAATACAAACACAAAAATTAAAGTTTATTACATGTGAACAAATATTCTTAAAATGTGGGCTAATGTTTTTGACATGCAAGTTCTATTTTTGAATTTTATATTTTCCTAACCTCTCATTTATGGAGATATCCCTAGTTTGCAAATTAATAAGTAGATGGATGAATATCACTAAACTTGTTTAACTACTTGCTTGTATGCTTGAAGAAATAGCTGAAGTACTTTTCACAATATGCAATGGTTACCTGAGCAACGTCGATTGCTACAATTTCTGTTTGACCACCTTGGTAGAGAATTTTAATTGCCAAGTAACCAGGATTATGGCTAGACTCGTCAACTCGAATAGCCAAATTTTGACCTATATAATCACACGGGATCCTGTTATGCATATATGTAAAATGATGTAAGAACAATATTAACCTTAATATTTTCTACGCCATACTTAAGATTAACTTAGAATATGTTCACCACAAATCATGTTTTTGCATTTTTGAAAAATTATCAATATCGATAGAACATATTCTTTCACACTTGTAATTGTTTTCAATGTATCATTTCACATTCATAAATATATTCGAAGAATATAAGCAAGATAACATAAAAATTTGTTGAGAGATTTAACCTTTTATATTCCACGTCAGTAATTCCAAGCTTCTCAAACATCGAGGTCCTTTCCAGGGTTGGCCATGGCTTTGAAAGCTCGATTACTTAGAACAAAATCATTTTTGTTATTTGTATTCAAATCAGTCAATATCACTTTAGTTCCTGCCTTACTACACAGATAATTATCTTTGCATCTTATCTGCCATAACAAAAATCCCAAAAATAACTGATTTTAGCACATAGTATAACAATATAACATCAGTGATTCAACTATGTTACTAAAGCATACTCGTACTAACGGTCCATCTAAATTTAGTTGTCACAATACAATTTTTAAACGACAATATCAAACGTGACAACTAATCTCGAATATAAATACCTGAAAGCATGCACCACAGCCAGCACCATCGTTATACAATTTAGAGACACCAGCTGCAAGAAATCCCCTGTTTAAGTTCAAAGCCAACGAACCATACCCACATGCTCCAGCTGCATCAAATCAACAAATTAATAAAAACCCACTTAATATTATGATCAAATATCATCTGGGTCGTCCTCAATATATACTAATTACATCCACTTCAATCAAAATTCAATATTAAAAAATCAATAAAAACAGGGGAGATATTTATTTACATGAAAGTGGTGAATCATTATAGAAAAAAGCAGCCTTTGATCGATGAACACAACGATCACAAGCTGTTACAGATGATACAAAAATTATTATAAAGATGAAGACGACAAATTCCGCCATATTTGATTAATTTTGTGGAATATTTTGAATTGTGTTAGAAACTATTGATTTAATTCACACATATATATATATATAGAAAATTACGCATAATATAGAAAAAATAAAAATAAAAATGGTGTACAGGTAAGCAAAAAGAGGGAGAAAATGAGATATAAATAATGAGGTAAGTTTGTTGAGGGGTTGAAGGAAAAAGACAGGGGAAATTGTGCAAACGCGGAAAAATGGCGGCGAAAAAAGAAAAAAAGAATGAGGACGATGAAAGTGAGTGAATATGTAAAACAGGGCACTTAGTTACTGGTTTTTGTTGGTGGCCATTATCTAATGTGCTGTCTTGACTATTGACAATTACCCAATATTTCATTTGTTTTATATTGAATGATTATGATATTGTTATGATTAGTGATTTTGTTATTGGAGTATTAACTTATTATATTAGGGCATGTGTAATCCTACTTAATTGCTTATATCATCATGTTTCATTCTATTATGAGATGGGTGTAAATTAATGTTTAATCTGCTAATAGTGATGAATGTGTAATTGATTTAAATTAATGTTCACTCATAGTGATGAATTTGTAATTGATTTAAATTTAGATACACTCATAGTGTGATGAATTTGTAAGGTTCATGTTAATAATTTTCTATAGTTTAAAGTAGGGGTTACTTTCTTTACTTTTCTATTATTAACTATTAACACCTTATGATTTGAGTCTTGTTCAGTATGTAATTGTATAGGTAGGTAGTTGTTAGATATGGTAGTAATGGTTAGTTATGCGAATAACGGTTAATTGTCTTAAAATCTATCTATTAGCATGAATGATGATGAATTGATAACTATAGCTCACAATTTTTTCCCAAAATTAATGGTTTTCGTGAGTTTTTGTCAATGTATACACAATTGCAAAATCTATCATGAACTCAATCAGTAACGGATCTTGAATCAATAAATCGAGTTGCTTAAAATATAAATAATGTTGTAATAATAAACAATTACAGTATTAGACAAACTTGGAAAAGGACAAAATGAGACTAACGACAAAACATGCTTGAAAGTTGATTTTTAAGGTATTGCCATATTGATGACTGATAAGTAAAATAGAAGACAATCTACTAGACTTACACACTTACTATCATCCGTATGAGACCCGGCTAATAGTCCACACCTAGTAACCATGATGATGATTGGTGAATCATGTATGTTTCATGAATTGCTGAATTTGCATTGTTAGAACTTTGAAGTGACTTTAGGACATACTTCGTATTCAAGACATTATAATGTTAGCTCTAGTACTTTGAAAACTTCAAGATCAAGCATTGATAGTTTTGTTATTATGAAGCAAGCTAAAGCTATGCAACAAAATCGCTTGGCTTGATGTTTAGCAGTTAGCAAAGTACGAGTAATCTAGATGGGTGAGTTATATGTTTTCGTGCCTAAGGCATACATAGGTATAATCAATGACGACCGACTATAAAGTATCATAATCTTAATATTGTCGCTTTTTAAAAGTGTCCATAGTAATGTTCGAGTGTGAAGTATTAGAGTTTGAATATTGACACTAATAAGAAGTGTCCATATGTACGAGTATACGACCTACCTATTTGTTTCTTAGCCAACATTATGAAAACCAAGCTAATAATAGCGATATGGGGTGCTTTCTTAGCAATACTTGTAAGCAATAACCAGACAATATCTCTTGTTTACATCTTGATCCAAATAATTGATCAATCGTATTCAATGTTGTTTATCCACATAATAATTGGTTTGATGCACTGAAATGAGAGATTCAAATTAACAAAGGAAAAATAGAAACAAATAATTCCGAGTAATTTTATTAGTTGATAACAAACTTATGTTTAAAAATAATCAATCTACTTTGCTAATAGGCCAAAAAAAAAAAAAATCAGAAATTTAAAGTCCTATACAGATGATGAAATAATTAAGTAGAGAGACTAATTCCAGTGGCTATCAGCACAAGGGGTGCAACCTTGTAATGCAATGTCATCAATTTGAACTTTAGAATCATATGTGACTCCTGCCTTCCAGTTTGCAGGTAAAACATTTTGAGCCCAAACGTTCTTGCCATCGAAGCCCGATGTCACGACGAATCTGAACTGTAATGGACCAGGGCCCGGATACTTGGTTGTTTCCCAAATTGCTCCGTACTTCCTATTCATGAATGACCAATTTGTTGAACCAACCTGTAATATATTATATGCAACATGTTTAACACCATAAGAAGAAAATATATACATACATAGTGTAATCAATCTAGCATTCTAGCTTACTAATGTTTTTGACATACCCGAGCAATATCAATTGCAACAATCTCGGTTTGACCACCTTGGTAGAGAATATTGATAGCCAAATAGCCAGGGTTTTTACTAGTTTCTTCCACGCGAATTGCCAAGTTTTGACCTTTATAATCACAAGGTATCCTGGTGCACATTACGTTCAAGTTAGATACCAAACAAGCATGGAACCTACAATTAACATGTATTACATTCTTCTTAAGAAAAAAAATCAGAAGACCTTCTCATGAAGGAAAAACTTAATACATTATTCCTTATCAGTTTTACTATAATAGACATTAGACAACACACTAGTATATGTAGATATTCTTCTACTTGTACATTTCAATATTCACATTTAGATCGAGTAGATGTATTTCTAAGTCCACACACCGTACATGACTAATGACTTCTGCGTCTCTTGTTGCTCGTTCATGACCGTTGATCATAAATGCAACCAAGTAATAAGTCAACCGAGTAATCGTTTGAACATGTACTTTAATTCTCTAAAACGGGCCTAATATGGGCAAATTAGAGGGCCTACAATATCTGAGCGTGGAGTGAAGTTAGAGTTAAATTAAATAGACATTGCGCATCTACAACATGTGCATTAAAATTTTAGACAAACTAGTCAGGTTAACATTCAATGTGTGCTAGTTGTAACTTCGATTGTTCAATTTTAAAGCATAAAGAATGGACTAGTACATTTTTGGTTGGCTACAGCCCATAATATTTTATACGTTGGCTGTCACACCATTGGACAAAATGCCAAGGTCAATAATAATATCTTGACAATTGACAAATCTCTCAATATCCGCTAGAAAATTTAAAATAAAGATGTGCTACATAAATTATTAGACCTCTAGGCCAATGTTCACAAATTATGAAATTAGCAATGATTGCCATTCGAGTGTAACTAAGCAACCTTTTCCAAAAGGATCCAAACAAGTGAGTAAAATCTAATATCACAAAGACACAAATTGTTAAGAGTATGATCCAATTTCAACATTGACTAGACCCAAGTCACCCGACCTGTCCTATAATCACCTACGTAGTATATTTTACCTTGACCACGGTGAATAAAAGTGAACTCATTTAAGAAGTGTACATCAATCAAGCTTGCATGAACCAAACAAAATACGTGATTGGGATACACCCGAGACATAAAAAATGGAACAGAGGATTATATTTCGTTCTATCAGTGGTA